TAATAATAATAATTATTATTATTATTATTATTATTATTATATTATTATTATTACTATTATTATTAATATTATCATCATTATTATTATTAAGGAGGTGGAAGTCGTTTGGAGTCAGAGGTAATATTAGCGAGAAAATCGCCACAAAAGCCTGAGTGCCCTTGGAAACTGCAAATTAACATTTTTCACTGCTTTTGATAAACGTTTTTTTTTTCCAGTAAAATTCACACAATGTCATACTTTTTAAAGTGGAAATAGAAGGTGTTGCGCCAATTGAAACATTCGATAGGCATTGTCCAACCGGCGGGAAAATGTCGGTGTTTTTTGTTTCGATGTCATTATTTTGACGAGCGCCTGATTTCCCGATGACGCCTCACATAACATACTTCAAAAATCGTGAAATGGTATACGTTTAACGCCCATGTCAACACTATTAGGTTATTTGAGACCGCCGAGTTAAACGTCCATCTCTGAAATAACCGAACCAAATAGGAAATTCATGTAAAGTGCCTTTTCTATGACACATGGTCGGACGAGCTGAGGCTCGAACCCCCGAACCCACAATCTCACGATTTTCGAGTCCGTTTGCCTAACCATTACCGACAGCGGCACATAAATGTAAAATACTTCTTCATGACTGTATATGTAATATTATACTTCTTCATGACTGTATATAATAGTATACAATGTACGTCTTCACGACTGTATAGGAGAAACAGGAAGAAAGTAAATGTTGCCCTTCTCAACAACAGAACAGCAGGGAGGAGAAAGTGAGTGAAGAATAGGACATGCGCCTCTTAGTGGTCGAGGATGAGAATAAGAACAAGAGTGCGCAGTTTTAGTCCTTTCGTTTAAATTAGACAGAAAGTGAAGGCTAGAGGGTTATTACAAGTCAACCTCTGAGTCAGAGATGACACCTCCAGAGTTGAAATGGGTCACATATACCTTTCAGAGTCTAATAGTGTAAGGAGAGAGTAACATAATACAAAGAAACGAGGAAGAAGAGATTATGACGACAGACGTTTGGTGGAAGAGAAGGAGCAAGCCACACCAGGGCGTCCACCAACCCCACCATATTTATAAGCAGTTTGTGTTATAATAATGACTTTGCAACCAAGCAAAAGAATGCGAAATAGGATATTGAGATCTGTAGGATAACACAGTTAAGCACTCTGCCGACCAAGATTTTTTAATTCAAATAAATAGTCTGCTTAGATTGGTCAAAGAAACAATCACCCCAGTAGTTGGAAAGAAATGAGAGCTCCACCAAGCTCTCACTGTGACATAAATCGTTATTACGGAAACTTTGTTTGTCACCACAGAACGTGTTGAAAATGTTAGTTATAAACATGCACCTGTGCATTTTATCATACTATGCTGTTTTCACGGACGTCTCCTGTGGTTGTAAAATATGTGTGCTTTATGTGATGTAGACCTATGGACCAGCGTCTATGGTGGATCGGTTAGGCGCTTTGTCGTCGCTCGCAGAAGACTCTAGTTTGATTCCCGAGTAGGACGCACGCTTTCATCGAGTATCTCAGTCTTTCTACTAGGATGTTGTATCTCTTTCATCCGGGTTGGCACTGACAGAGAGAGTGGGAATGTCACCTTCTCAATGATCCAAATTGTGTCAACGAAGGCGTAAAAACACCCACATTAAACAAGACCGACAGTCTTGAACATTGAAGGAGATACCGGCTCACTACCCTACCCCTCATTTCACAAAATCAATCAATTACATGTAATCACATTTTGGGGACATATTCACTATGGTTAGTACTTGTAGGTGAGTTTATGTGTGGGTGTATGTATGTGTAAGTGTGTGTGTGTGTGTGTGTGTGTGTGTGTGTGTGTGTGTGTGTGTGTTTGTGTGTGTGTGTGTGTGTGTGTGTGTTTGCGTGTGTATGTGTGTGTTTGTCTGAGTGTGTGTATGTATGTTTAACAATCACACACTACCTGTATCTTCACACCAGCCTGCAGCCGCCCCCGCCCGGCACCCTTTCTCTCTGTCCATGCACAGATCTTTGTCCTTTCCACAAAAGTCGCAAGTCGTCGGGCAAAAGCGCAGCATGGCCTCCACTTTGGACCTGCAATAGCCTTTTTCCTTCAGTTCCACACAGTCGTCCCTGGCATCTCCACACTCTGGGAACGGGATCGTCCAACGTGGTTCAGCGCCCAGTCTCAACGTCATGGTGTCTGTGTCAGCGAGTGAAGGCCGCGAATCTGCTGTTGCTGTCGTCTTTTCCGATGTTGCTGTCGTCTTTTCCTCTTCCGTGGTATCCTCAGCCGTGGTGCCGTCAGTGGTGGTTGGAGGTGACGGTGTCGGGGTCCCATATTTCTCCGAACACAGCACGAGGGGGTCTTCAAGTCTGCCTGAGTCACACCAGCATTCACAAACGGGGGATTTCGGAGAATGATAGAGCTGTATTCCTTCTTCAGGGCAGTCTTTTACAGGATATCTTAACATTACCTCACACAATATAGGACACTGATACATCAAGTTGGCCAGCTTAATGTCGCTAAATGATAAGTAATCGCGCTGGCCGATTTTGAACTGATAGGAAGGATCCAGTGTGGTAATCGGCCCAAGAATCCAAGATCCGTAATGCATGATGCTCATGTAATCGTACGGGACATCGTATGTATCGATGAGAGAAGAACTGTATTTCTTATAGTTACCGCGATAGTCTTCATCGATTCTGTCCGTGTGAATTTTGATATATTTGTCTCTGTCAGGTCTCATGTGTTCATGAATCAAGCCAATGGCGTGGCCCACTTCGTGGATTATTGTACCTTTGTTAAGACATCTCGGGGCCAGCTCAATCTTTTGAGGTTGTTTCTGCCAAGGTTGTTGACCTACCGCGGACTGACACTTATTCGACAGCTCAAACTTCACCATATACGGGTATTCCCACTCTATGAACTGAAAACATACATATCTGGTCCACTCCCCTAAAGCAGCCTTAATGATACTGGCGTTGGGCTTCAGCTCCGGCGAGATCTCATAATAGACTTGAGCTTCCTTCCACAAATATTCCCTGTCTCTGACAGCTTTCCGCTTGCCCCTGGTGGTAGAACTGTGCATCTTACTGTACTCTTCTTTACTCATGGCCAGGTCGAGTTCCGTCAACACTGACACGTTGCCATCATTGGTCGTCTGGAGAAAGTTCAAGGCCTCTGGGTCGTCTGCGGCGTTGACCAGCGTCCTCTCGATGGTCATCTGAACCGCCTGGGGGAGGAGATAAAATCCAAGTTTCACATCTTAAACCAGAAAACATGAACCACATTTTGCCTAACGGTGATCTAAATATCATGATTTTCAAGTAAACGAAAAGTGAAAATGTTCATTCAGACGTCACGTCAACCCTATGTAAGCTTACTACCAATCAGAATTCAACACCTAAACAGAAAATGTGTGTGATATAGTGGGGAAATCAGGCGCTTACCAAAATAATGAAATCGAAAGTACCCACATTTTTCCGCCTGTAGACTAATTCTTATCTTGATCTAATTCAGCCCGAGTAAATCTTGACAGGCAGGGTCAGCACCCACTTTCTAAATTTAGACAATTTTATGGAGCTCGCAACTGCTTAAGGTCATATGAGAGTCACCATCTAAATCAGTGGTTTTCAAAGTGTGCGGCGCCCCCCTTGGGCGGTGGCGACAGTTTGGGGGGCGCTGGGGCGAAATTTGGCAATTGGGGGGCGGTGGTGGGCGTTAAAGGGGCGGTATGTCAACATTAAAAATGGTGAAGGGAAAGAAGCCACATAAAAAACAAAAACAAAAATTGATAGCTTAGGCATAGTTTACAATACTACTTATTACTAAGAACTTTCTTTCCCAGCACTCAAAGCCCACATAAAGATGATTCATCCCGGCAAATCTGACAAAGAACTGGCATACTTCAAAACTCTAAAGATCAATTCAGTTTAATAATATTTTTATATTCTACAATGGAGATATTTGATATACAAATCTCAGGCAACTTTATTGGAGCACCTTGATGGGAGGACACGTTTCATAAAAATAATGTCAATCTGTTTTCAAACTAATGATCACTTTTTGGGGTTCTTTTTTATTTAAAGTGTTTTGCTTCTGCAAATGTCATAATACATGTTGTACTTTTATTGATGTTAACAACACCGGTCGTTTAATACCGATGACACATATGCATAAAATGACAGTATTTTGCTCTCAATGCCCTTGCATAACATTGAAGAAAAAATGTGTTTTATTATCTCTCGTACACGCTTAATTTAAGACTCTGTAATGATGGTGATTTGTGACCCAACTAATATGCAGAACCAAATCATTAGAATTTAGGCACTTTATTTTGTACCCTACTTTTTGAGCTCTCTCTTTATTTGTGATTGTTATTATATTATGCATGTCGTTATGTCAGATTGATGGTTAGGGCGGAGTAGGGGGCGCTCCGACTCGGCTGGGTGAAAAAGGGAGCGGTGGACGAAAGAAGTTTGAAAACCACTGATCTAAATAATCGAAACTGTGTCGATCGGGGAGTAAAAAAAAGCGACATTACTGTAGCTGTATTTGTGGCCATAGAGACACAAGTTGGATCATTTATGAGGCGGTCCCCGACCATGCCTGTCAGGGCCAACCAAGACTGAGAGGGGTACAACATCCCAGCAGAAAGACCGAGATACTTCATAAAAATTCTCCCAAATCAGGAATCGAACTCATGTCACCAGCGTGCCACAGCGAAGATACTACTACACAACAACGCCGGTATGTAAGACTAATAAAAACAAAAGCAAGAGTAAACCCGTCTAGCTCTTACCGTAACGAACACAGGCACAAAGGAAGTCAGGAGACATAGATCTAATAATAATATATACAGGCACTTTCTCCCTGCCATCATTCGACAAGATTGAAAACTGAGGCTCATCTATATCTAGAGACGAATAGCGAAACCCTCCGATCGTGCACGTTTTGTGTTGTCTCGAGATAGTGAGCGCTCCAACACTCAGCTGAGCGACAAAAGATATTCCGAGACGCTCCTTCGAGTACCCAGGAACAATTCGGAGACGCACTTTCGCACGCAGATGCACTGCTGTGTTGGAGGGGAGGGGGGTCAAACTGCGTATTATTTACTGCAGATCACATATGTAGCTACTAAAACTGTCGCAAATCGAATATTTTCAAGAAATTTTCAAACCTACCTGCAAAATATCAAATTATGGCTTAAAACAGGGGGGCATGCCCCCTGTAACCTCCCAGATTTTTGTTTACTTGGTCTAGAGGCATAAAGCATTTTCATTGGTCTATCTCCGTCGGAGTCGTCTCCGGACAGATACTGCGTAGCTGAGCCGGGGTTAACTCCAAGCAGGAAGTTTGAGTATGAGCAAGACGGTCGCCTGGCAAGCGAGTACGTTATTTCAACCCCCCACCCTCACAGCCATGGCGAGCTTTGATGATAATTATCTATGCTCGCAACCCATCCCTGCCCTTTTCTACTCGCTCATTACCTTCACGTCCTTCAACCACTTCTCTTCTCTTACGTAGGCTACTCTCTCTCTCTCTCTCTCTCTCTCTCTCTCTCTCTCTCTCTCTCTCTCTCTCTCTGTCTGTCTGTCTCTCTCTCTCTCTCTCACACACACACACACACACACACACACACACACACACACACTTTCTCTTTCTGTCTCTCTCTCACAGACTCTCTCTCTCTCTCTATCTATCTATCTATCTATCTATCTATCTATCTATCTATCTATCTATCTGTCACACGCACACACACATACAAAAGCACGCGCGCGCGCACTCACATAAACAGACTCTCTCTCTCTCTCTCTCTCTCTCTCTCTCTCTCTCTCTCTCTCTCTCGTTTCCTGGACAAAACCTCATCACGTCCAACAGCCAGCGCACCTCGAGTCGTGTGAACTTGCCCGTACTCCGCATTGCCCCACTCATCCCGCTGAAGGCTACTCGCAACTAGTACAGTTTTCACTTTCGGTTTCTTCTTTACGTGCTCTGAGTGACGAAAGGGCTGTGGTTCTGGAGGTCCCACCTCATAAACTAGAGCCTTACAGTGTTGTCAAGGGTTATAGTCTTATACAGTTCCACTATGTTCCATGCTAGGCTGATCGTGCACACCGCAACTTTAGGTCACTTTGTGCTAGGATGGATTATTACTCATGCAATCAAAGTTATGCTTAACTTTAAGCTTTTTCGAGAATCGAAAAAGCTGTGAGTGTGTGTGTGTGTGTGTGTGTGTGTGTGTGTGTGTGCGTGTCTGTGCGTGTGTGTGTGTCTGTGTGTGTGTGTTTGTGTGCATGTGTGTATGTGTGTGTGTGTGTGTGTGTGTGTGTGTGTGTGTGTGTGTGTGTGTGTGTGTACAGTTTTTATATTTCGACATGTAATGAGAAACAACCTTTCCCTTGAAAATCGTGAAAGCGCCTGATGTCCTACTTGCAGCACATGTTGCCTCATGGTTTTCATTTTTTTTAAACGTAGACTTTATCCTTAGAATAATAATTGTATTATTTATATAATTCATATCTACGCTCTACAGTAGACTCTATGCACTTTATATCTAATATTACCCCAGTAGACCTTAGAACACTCAGAAACATCCTTGTTTTCCCGAGAAGTATACAGTGCAAGCAGAGGATTTCACGCAATCGAACACTAACAAACTGACAAGATCTTTCGCAAGGATACAGCATAGGGCCCCTGTTGGGATTCGAACCCACGACTTTACGTTTGCGAATCCTAGAGCCTAACCACTAGGCCACCAATGCCACAAACAGTTGCAGAGTTGACTGAATATGAAACAGCGATAATAAAAATGTACCCAGAAGTACTCAAACGACCCGTGCACTTGTACAGTCTTTACTGTCCCCAGGCAAGTGTAAGGTTGGCACACAAAAAAAGTATTACGAAGACACCCAGAAGATGTCTCTGGAGAACCTCAACATAAATCCCTCGACATGGGAGAGCCTAGTTTCTGACGGACCCAATAGGGGAGCAGCAGTCACAGTGGGCAGCAAATCATACGAGGCTTCATTATAAGAAACGCTGAAACCAAGAGAAAAGCAAGTAGAAGTGGAGCTTTTTAAATGTTCAAAATGTGGCAAACTTTCTCTCCTAGTATTGGTCTTATCGGACACAGCAGAAGCCACAAGTTCTCTACTTAACCTTTAATTCATCTATTTCGCTGTAGAATTATTCTCTTCTACAGATATAGTGGTCACCGTCAGGCGTTGACGGAGGAGACATTACCCGTGTAATATGGGTAGGGCTGAACAGGAGGGAAAACCGGATTGTCTCGGCTGTATGGAGGTCACGCTAAGTGCTGAAGTGCTGGACGGTACTCAGTACTCAGTACCAGTTTCCTGTTGTCGCTCATGACGTTTGCACAAGCTCTGCACTTACAGATGTAGCACATACACACGTTGTTTTGTTTGGGGGGGGGGTTGTTTATTTGATTGTTGTTAGGGTTTTTTTTCCTGACAAAGAGATGGATGGATGATAAGTGGACGTCACATGACTCCGCACGTCCCTAACAACGAAATGCACAATTTAGTTCATTATTTAGTTAAGTAAGAGTTTTACAGCACTTGCAGTAAAGTCAGAGGTGTTACAAGAGAGTGACAAACACAAAACGGAAGTAAGAGAGATAAGGACGATAGATGTTTGATATGAAAGAAGGAGCAAACCATACTAGAGTACCCGTCAACTACTCACAATTAAGTTCTGTTGTGTTTGTTTAATCTCAGAGTCCTTTAACTAAACACTTAACAACTGCTTCAATAACATCGTTTCTCTCTCTCTCTCTCTCTCTCTCTCTCTCTCTCTCTCTCTCTCTCTCTCTCCCTCCCTCTCTCTCTCTCTCTCTCTCTCTCTCTCTCTCTCTCTCGCTCTCGCTCTCTCTCCACCACCACCAGTATTCATTATTGCACACGGCCAGAAGTCTTCTTTGGGTCAGAATGCCATTGCGCGCCTCATCAAAGCATTCAAGAGCCTAATGTAGGTCAAGAATATGAAAGGAAAGTTATACCTTCTTCTTTCTTCAGTCTTTTCCTCAAGGGGTGTTCGTTGTCCCAAAAAAATCAAGGACACGTTAGCGTCAAGTGAAGCGCTCGTTATCTGCGCAGCAACTGGAGGTAAAAAAAACAACAACAACAACAACAACACACGCGCATGTAAATAGACATGAGTACAAATGTTCACTTCTCTTGTGTATCGTGTATATGAGTAGGCCTACTGTGTAACTACAATACCATGATCCTCACTTCAGTCTCTCGTGCACGCCAGTGTAAATAATTATCACTTCTCTTTTGAATACGAGTAGCAAATGTTAACTTCTTTCCTGTGCACGAGATTAAGACCATCGCTTCTTTCGTGTACGGCTATAAAATCTTCAGTTCTCTTGTGCATACGAGTTCAGAATTTAATCCCTGTATACACGCCTATAAAACCGTCTCTTCTCTCGTGTACACGAGTGTAAAACGAATACTTTCCTTGTGTATACAGTTATTTTTTTCTTTTCATAAGTGTTTTACGGCGCTTACAAATGCGTGAGGTCATATGAGCGCGAGGGGCGCATTAAATATTTCAGTTGGTAAGAAATTCTGAATTTTGCCGGGTGGCGGCCGAAGCCTACTCTCGTGGATTTTAGACCACCAAGGGATATTTAACGTGCGCAACTTGCACACGGGACCTCCGACATTTTTCGCCCTTGTCCAAGAGGGCTAGGTGTGGATCTTTCCTACCAAAAGATCAGGATTGTGGCTGAAAGACAGCAGTAAGGAGCCAATGACTAGCAGTAGAAAGGCTGCAGAAAGAGTCAGGAGGAAGGGGTGAAAGAGGTGAGGGGGTGGGGTAGAAAGTAGAAACGAAAGCTGACGACAGAACATTACTAGAGAGCAGGAAAGGAGGGGAAAGGAGACAATCTTAGAGAAGAAATGTTTTCGGTTGTTACCCGGATTCTAATCTTGGACCTTTGAATGAGAGGCGAACACCTTAACTTCTAGGCCACGAGAGCCGCCCCCGCCCCACCCCCTCCCATTTACAGGTATAAAATCTGCTCATCTCTCGAGTCTACAGTTGTAAAACCATCTCTTCTCTTGTGAGTATGAAACGATCATTTTTCTTGTGTTTACAAGTAGAAGATCTTTTAACGGCACTTAAACCCTCGAAATATCGGAATAACTCCGTTACTCATACTCATACAGATTCTTCAATATATTTTCCTTCCCTAAAACTTAAAAAAATCGTGCAACAACATACGCACTATGTTATGGGCAAACTATTGGGGTTTTTTTGGAAATATGACACAAACTTGACAGTGGCCTGCTGTTGGTCGAACATATTATTATTATTGTATCCACTACGTCCGTAAAAAGAGAAAAAAGAAAGCCAGATTTCGCCTGGTGTTCTAAACTGACGTTGGCGAAGGCTTTGACAATAGAGTCCTCTTTACACCAGCGAGAAGTTGAAAGGAGTGTGGGATCTTGACGTCCAATCCCAAATGAATTCGTGAGATATTTCCTTCGTTGCACACTCTGTGATTTTTTTTCTCTGTCCCTGCCTGCTTCCTTCTTCTGTCCTTCACTTTCCAAGTGACCAGGTTCTCCGTCTTCGAAATAGCGTTACATTAAAATTTGTGAACTCTTTGTCAATGTTTATGCAGTGTTACTAGTTAGGGAAGAGTAAATTGTTCTCGTACTATGAAGGTGGCGCATGTATACAGAGCAAGCTCCAGAGACAGTGAAGCCTATGCGTATTGTAGATAGATTCTTACAAATTGTTTTTCGTAACCATTGGTGTTGACCTGTTGGTCTAGCCGCCATCTTTGTGAGTTTATTTTATTCATAAAAGAGTGGGATGGGGGGAAAAGGGGGGGCGGATTGCACACAACAATTGAGTTTTGCGTTTGTCATTTACTTCCACCTGAACGTGGCCAAGTGCAGGTTCTGCTTTTTTTTTCTTTTCGCCCGTAATAGAAAAGGGGGGGGGTGCTAGAGTGCTCCTCGGTGAGGACCAGCGACCCTCTGCTCTGCACACACAGCCCATGTAGGAGGCCTCTCTCTCAGGGCAACGTTCCCCCACAAGCCGTGTGTCTCACTCCCTGTGTGGATGCCGCGAATGCTCAGAAAGATTCAAGCTGGACTACG